AAAAATATTGAAATAAAAATATTTTTTGGTATTCGTTTGGCTTTGTTTTACATAAAAATTGTCAATTAAAGGTATATGGTATTGGGGATGAAATTTGTTTCCATTGCAAAAAAAATTAAAAAAAATTTAAAAAATAAAAAATTCAAAAAAATCATCTATGTTTTAATATTCGTTTGGCTTTGTTTTACATGAAAATTTTCAATTAAAGGGAAATATTTTTTTACAATTAGAGATAGAAATTGTTAAAAAAAAATCGTCAACATTGCCTGGAAAATATAGGTGGGAATTGATTTTCCCACAAAAACTGGAAATTGTCCACATGACCGAAAAAATGGAGAAAACATATTCCCTAGAAAATAATGGGTATCAAACATGCAAAAAAATGGAACTTGAAATTGGAATTCCTAGTTCTATAGAAAATTTTGCTTCGTCAAACACTGCTTTAGTGGAAATTACATAATCTCAGGTGGTTAAAGATTAGAATTCAAAAGTAAGAGACCAAGTTTCATTATTCAAAAAATCAGGTATGAATATAATAAGTATTACCTCCTAATTTAATTCCAACCCTAATTTTATTCTCTCTCTCACTGGCTCTCCATCTTCCCCGTCTCTTCTTTTCCCTCTTCTACGCCTTCGTCAGAGACCTTACCCATTTCACTTCAAATGACGACACTACGCTGTCGCCACCATGTAAGCAGCACCACGGCGATCTTTACCCCCCTCTAACCTCAATCTGGTAGTCCATTGATGTGCAATGGTGTGCTTTCTTGTGGATTGATTATTCTCATGCTGGCTTCATTCTTTGTGTAATTAACTTCCTTCTCATAGATTTTAATTTTTTGGTGTGATTGTTATATATTTGCTCCAAATTTTGAAGTATTAGGGTGTAAATTTACTCAATTATTCATTGCTTTTAGTGCTTGGATTAACTTTTTTCTTCTCTTTTATTCGTTCTCGATACACAGTATATGATTTTTTGGTGGTGATGCCATGGTGTTGGTAGTGGTGGCAACAGTGATGACGAGGTGAGGGTGGTTGTAAGTGGTGGTGATGGTAGTGGAGTTGATGGTGACCGACTATTTGACCTGTGACCAATTGTTTGATTATTCGTGACTAGCTATTTAATTGTGACCTTAAAATTCGATAATCTGTGACCAACAAATATGAAAATATGTGACCGACTGTGACCTATAGTTTTTTCATATGTGATCAATGAAATAAACTGTGACCTATAAAATTTTTGATTTGTGACCTCGAAATAATCTGTGACCAACAAAAATTTTTATTTGTAATCTTCAAATAATCTATGACCAATTAATTTGATGATATGTGATCAGTAAATAAATTTGTGACAATTAAGCATGTAACCGTGACTTTATTATCTTTATTTAATAAATATTTTTAATTATTAAATATATACCTAAAATTTGAAATCTCAAATTATCTACCTGATTTTTGAATTGATGTAAACAATATACTTGAATTATGAATTTTTCCCATAGAATTAACGAATGGGCCTTAGTTGGGAGGCCCATTTTAGCTCTCTTTATTTGCTTTGCGGGCAATTCGGGTTACCATTTGAGGTCATTGTTCGTTAGGGTGAACTAATAATCTTGCAAATTGCATTGATTTTTAAATAAAAATAATGATGAAATAATTCTATAACGTAAGTTGCTGTGTTGATTCCATGCTCATTGTTTTGTTATTCCCACTAACACTCGTGTTGTATGAGATAGTATGGGGAGATTAAGCCTCGTTTGGATATATAATATATGACATGGTTTGGAATTCAGTTTGACATAGTTTTGAATTCAGTTTAAAGTTAAATAGTTGATTTCAATCGAATAATTCCTTCACCTGAATTGACGACAACCAGTGACATAAGAGTTAATCATTTATTTCTTTTATTCAAGTTGTACTTACTTCACATTAATAACTATTGGATACGTGTGATACTATTTATTTATTGATTGACACGTTATCGATCATCGTTAATGATAACGAACAACATTTCTTCAATTGAAATCAAATTAAAGCGTGTTTATCCGATTGAAATCAAATATTAAAGAGCAAATCTAGCCTCTACCCATTTGGGATCCTAATTGAGTAATTTATAATTTGTCCATAAACATTTAAATTTGTTTCTGTTCACATGATACTCAAAATCTATTACTAATTTTTATGTACTTATAATTTAAACAATTTTATAAACAACTCTCAAACATTCTCGAGTCCTGTTAAATAAAATTTTACACATTATTATTAACAACAAGATTCATAACAACAATGGCTAGGCGTACAGAATGTGATTCACAGGTGTTTACAGAATGAGTTGTTCACTATTTTAAAAAAAAATGAAAAAAAGTGAGGAAAACCTGAAGCAGAAGTCACGCCATTTGGGATTAAGAACAAGAAACTATTTGACCTTATTTACTAGCTCGCCGTTCAGCAGTCACTTTATTGCTCCTAAAGTGGCTGATGGGCTTCAAGGACTACAGTTTTGGTTGCTGTCTGAGTTTCTCACGGATGAGGATTCTGTCATGGAGAAGGAAAGATTAAGCAAAAAAATTAAGTCGGATTCTGAGTTATTCTTCCCCCACTGAATTTCCGTACAATTTTGACAATTATGGAGTCAGCTATCCCAAAACAGAGAGTGATGACGAAGACTTGCTCGTCGCATTAACTCGATCCTCTTTCTACCATCATCTCAACCATTACTACAGATACACTAGTCTACCATGTCTCTATTTCTTCTTTTTGACATGACTTACCATTAGGGTCGGACAAAACTCTATAACAGAATTAAATCGGGCGATTCTTCTTGAATTAAATACTTGAACAGTTATCTGAATAGAGAATCGACGAGTTTGGTTCAATTTTCAGTTCTAGATCAAGAACTGAATCTCCCTAATTTTTTTAATTAATTTATTTTAGATAAACCAAATTATTTTATTTTTTTTAAATAAATTTGTTGACTAGTTAAGTTAGCTTAGATCCAAAAATATGATTTTTCTATTTCTAATTTTCAATTCAAAGCCAACTTAATCAAATTGAAATAAGTTTTATCCAAATCTGTTATTCTACTGTAGTGTCGTTTTTATCGTTCTGGCAAAATCAAATTGAAGTTCGACAACGCCTTTCTTCATTATTTTGAAATCGCTATCTTCATCATTCTGTAATTTTGATAATCAAATCTATAAATAACTCAATAAAGAGAGACACAAAAGACACATAAAATTGGACTATGTTATTTTGTAAAAGTTGAGTTGGAATCGAACCCAAACGATTCTATAATTAAATTTGGACCCGACGATTTCACTTACTAAATACTCAAAAATTTCGGGTCCGATTCGGTTCTAACAAGAACCGAATCGAATTTGTTAGAACCAAATTGAATTGGATCATGTTCAGCTCTACTTCCCATTACCTTTCCTTCTATATATATGTGTGTCATGAATTGGTTTATGCACGCAAACTTTTTAATCCATATTGTTATCATGATAGTTACTACAGAGCGCTTCGATAAGTGATTCACAAGTAATCTTGGAGCAATATTGGCATATCAAATCATTCTCTTCTTATTGCTTCCCTACCTGTAATCTTTCCAAGGAATAAATTTGTTGATTACATAGATAAATTTTGGTAGGTGTACCCCTTTACTTGAATATTGGTAATTCTCACTTTACTGTGTATATCCTTCGTACTTTCAAACATACATTTGAGCTCTCAAAAGGTTCCTCAAAATATATTGGTTTGAATCCAAAGAAAACAACCTTTCGTTGTGCTACAAGCTTTTTTATCCCCTAAACGTAGAGCAATGCAAGTGCAGGTTCATTCCCTAACCTTTCCAGTACGAAGGGGGGAAGTTTTGATAGGATATACGTTCAAGAGTAACTGTTTTTGTGAATATCTCGACTCATATATCCTTTCTGTAACAAGCGATGGCACTAAATGTTGGCCTTCATGATTCATCTTCCCTTTTGTTCATACATTTGTGAAAATCTTAAAGTGGGTATAACACTTTTTTAATGTCCCATTACTGTAATAATGACAATAGCGCCGAAAAAACTTTAGCACATACTAATTGTGTCGTCGGTGATTGCTATGAGCACTCCACTGAAATTGTTCCAACTTCATATCAAAGGCATTAAAATGCAACTGTCAAAACTCAGACTAATCGTTTCAGCTATTAAAGTCTTCTGCATGATTATGCTTAATGATTTTCATCAGTTTTAAAAGCTTTTACAGTATTTAACTTGCATTTTATTTGAGCAG